CGGTTCGGCGGTTCTCAGCGGGCTCAATCTGGTTACATAATCATTTCGAGAAAACAGTCGGGGTAGTACGGGGGTACAACTCTGGAGGGATGTACTAGTCCAAAGAAACAGGCGTAAGCGGCGTGACTAAGCAGATATCGCATTTTTGAGCCCACGCCGTGGAGTGGATGGTGTGGGACGTACTGTAATGCGTTATATTGAACTTGACGCCTAACCGCTACAGTATGCGATGCGACTCGTCCTCTGCCGCGCCCGGGTCTCTGACTTCGTCGCGAGACGAAGAAGGAAGAGGAGTAACCAGCAAAACGAGCCACAAAAAAGGAAGAATTGTGACCTTTGGAAGGCCCAGCCAACAATTGAATTTGAAGTCTACTGCGTTCTTGAAGGTTATGTCTAGAGGTCCTCACTCCGTTTCCCTTTCCAATCACGAAAGATTCGTTGTTTGGATCATGCATCACTGGAAGCACTGTGAAGCCAGCCAGTCCACGCACAATGATAGATGTCATAGATAATCTCCCTTCATTGGTTCAACAATTTCAATTCTGTTTTCTATTCGGCGCCATATTACTGCAACGTTCGCGTTAACCTGCTGCAAACTAGACACAGTTCACAGAAAGGGGTAACTGTGCGAAAAGTATGAAACAATGTGTTAGGTTGACTAAGAAGTGAGCGCCGATTCATGTCATCTTCCACAGAATTCAAAATGTTTTGGTTCCAGCAATGAGCTATGTCAACCTTGGTATACTTTTATATTACTGAATTCGACCGTCAGTACTTCCCTTTATGAAATAGCGCCCCAACTCAACTGATTTTCGTCACTGTCAGTTTTGCAAGTGCCGCTCGAGACAATCAGGAAAAAGTCTATTAGATTATCAGTGGAGCTGAAGATCCGACACCTTAAAAGAGGGGATTCAAAGGTGGTGTGAGAGGTGCGCATGCGACTACAACCTTGAAGAGCAACTATGTGCTGTACACGCACTTACCGAGGATACTGATCGAATGCAAGAGTCTTCAGGCACCCGTCACATGCAACAGGTTTTCAGTCCTCCTAGAGCAGCATAAGTCGAGCCCTTTGTGCCACATGGAAATTACGAAAGTTGATGAGGTGGTATTCATACCCATTGGATGAGGTTGCTCGGACGACATGCGCGAAAATTTAACAAGGCTTGCTGTCTCGTAGTTTCGATTTAACTGACAGGGGCTTTTAGTGTGAGGAATTTGCGTTCCATTCGAGCAACATTCGGAGGCATCAATGGAGACATGCAGTTTATCAACGACGGCGAACTCAAAAAAGTGAGTCCACAAAAAAGGAGTTCCGCTTCCTGGTTATTGGATTGCATCTTTGCAGACTCCAACCGATACCACCATTGCGCACGGACCTTTATTGCCCTCAGCTGCGCAGACATTGCTTGGATGTCGCGAAATTGTGGTAGACAATAGAAAAAATGTTTCACTGCACGGCAACTCGTAACTCACATCTTGCGCCTGTATTCCAGAGTAACATGCGAAAGCTTGGCTCTATGATTTTCCCCGCTCACCGTAGTCCACTGTTGGTATACCAACCAGCCGCCAATTGCTTCTCTTCTTTGATCGCTTCCAGAGAAAAACTGCGATGATTACAAGCACCACGAACCGCACGTGCACGTCCAATTTTCCTCACGTCGAAGACTACCTAATTGTGTAGCAGAGGTAACTGCTTGCTTGTCGATAATTAGCGTGCATTTGTAGACAGTCGCGGTGGATATGAGACTTGATAGTAATGGTTTTGAAAAAGTTGTAATATCTTAAAAAACGCCGCCAGATTGGCACTTACTTGGTTCAACCGGTTCCAGAAAAATGAGCTGGCTTATATTGGAACATCAGGTTCATCATAGTCTTTTACATATAACTTCGAGCTCTCGCATTCTCACCACCTTATTTGGTGGATGCCTCCAATTGATTCGAAACGAACGGGCGTTCTAGTTCTACGCGCTACGAAATCGAACTTGCTGCTTGAATGGATAGCTGTTCTACAAAAAGTATAGGTGGAATTTTGAAGGAAGACTTTTGATCGAAGGCCGATATCTGCAGAGTTTGATTTAGGAGATCATCATCTTCAAGAGCACCTATATTAACACCCACCGCATAGGACACCTACGCCCCACACTGTCACAAGGAGGAGACTAGTTGTGTTTGATTCGTGCCCCCATTTTCATCCCTTATGTCCTATCGGATGCAGAAATAGTACAATCATTAATAACGATGAGATTAATAGTCTCTGCCAATAAAAATTTGAAGCTAAAGAGATGCGCTCATAACTGTGATTTCGATGTGTCAAGTAAAAACTGAAAACTTTGTCTGTTGAGATATGCTCGAACGTTGCTACAGCAGCAAGCCTGTTTGGACACTTCTGCTTTGAAGCGAGCCACAATCACATATCCTGTCACAATAATTACGCCTATATGCCGAAATTACGGAACAAGAGCACGCCGCATGCAATTTTGAATCCAAACTCTGTGTTGGCTGTACTGATTTTGTGCATTTCTTTTAGGCAGATCTTCACTCATTTCTCAGTGAGCCATGTAGATTGGGATGACTCCGAAGCTGTCATGCCTTCATGTCTTCACGAAGCAAGCTTTCATTTACCCGCTAACCAGATTGATGGTGTTACATGGCAACATGATCCGGATTGTCCCAGAGGCTCCTGCCTACCACCATCAAAACACACGTCAAGCTGGACGCATGAGCTACCAGGAAGGGTCATTAGGCCAACCCGGCCAAATGAAATGAGGTGCACATTTCTGTACGCAGCATGAGACGCTGAACTCAAATCTGCTTTCATTATCTGCTGAACTCTTCTCTGAAAGGAGTTACGGAGGGTTTTTGTTGCCGCCCTTGATTTTCAGTGTTTTGCCTGCAATCACATGTTAGCCGCACTTATGAAAGTATCGAAAGGAACCGATGTGTTTAGTTTTCGTTGAGCATTCGTATTTTTTTTTTTTTTTTTTTTTTTTTTTTTTTTTTTTTTTTTTTTTTTTTTTTTTTTTTTTTTTTTTTTTTTTTTTTTTTTTTTTTTTTTTTTTTTTTTTCCAGTTCGGTAGCGTCGTGTTTCTCACGGAGGGGGTCGGGGGTTCGGTCCCCTTGGGGTTTGTTGTTTTGCTTTTTTTCCAACATGGCTGAAAAGCCTTTTTGAATCTGTTATTTTACCAATGGTCGCCCGACGCTACATCTACGAAGAGTTTGCAAGCTGACCCTCTTAAACTTAAGCACTACTTGTCTGTGAAAGCCTATGGTGCCCGTAGTGCAGGTGCTATGCTTTTCCGTGGCAAGTAGGTATGATATTCGTATTCAGGGGATCAAACTACCCCTTACAGCGAGTTTTTCGCCAAATCTGAGGCGACGAACTAATTGAGAAAAAGCGGGGCAGTGATGGGATTACCACTCCTCAAACTCCACTTTTTTGGGTTGACCAATCATGGACGACGGGGAAAGGGGAGAGAAGGTGTTGTATTAGGAAATAATGGTTTGTAGATCTTTGGATGATGCAGACGGGCAAGCCAGACACAATTTTCGTCTATTATGAAAAGTTTTTAAAAAATTTATTCTACCCAAGTGCCAGCCTTTTGTAATGGATTGGTGGATCGGTGAGTAAGTGACTGCCCAAATTTTCGAGGTTAGGTCAAAATTTCAGAATTCGCTAGAAGTTCGCTCAAAGGGAGAGTCTGACTCCCTGATTACGAATATCATACTTGTTCGAAGCAAAAATGCCTGGCGCCTGCGCTACAAGCGCCCAAAGTGGTGAGGAGCGGTGCCGCCCAAGTTCATTATTAATTGCCCTCAAATTCTTTTTACTGTTAACTATACGCAAGCATGTTGGACTAGCAATGTTAGGAGTCTTCCTAGCTATCTTACTGCAAACGGCAAAAGAACAAACTCGCCAGGGAGTTGATCCCCTGACCTCTTTTTCGTGAGCCTCGACCACAGCCCCTGCGCTTTTCTGCTTCATAATTCCTTTCAGAGAAGAGTTCAGCAGATAAGGAACACATATTTGAGCTCAGCGTCCCAAGGCGCGTATACACATATACATCTCATTTCAAATGGCCGGGTTGACCAAATGACCTTTCCTGGTAAGTCCGAATGTGAGTAAGGCTGCGCTGGTTATCAGGAGCAGCTTGGCAATATAGGGGCGAAGACGCTGGAGCCCATGCGCTGAATTCATCGTTCAGCGGCCAGAATGGGAACTGATCGAGCTTCGCTTAGAAGATCTCCGCTTTCCGCTGCAAGGGGAAGACGTATAAGCGTACAGAGTCCCACTTACTCAGTGATGGGGGTAAAATGCAAGGCGAGTAGTAGTGCAAGTGTGTAAATGCTGGCTCGACCTCATAGAAGCCGTTGTTTTCCGATTGTTCAAAATTACTAAGAAAACTCTTGCAGTTGAGCCACTCTTCATAGAGCAGACCTATTTATCTAGCGAGCAAGCCAAATTTAGCTCTCCAAGCATATTGAATTAGGATCAAGTGACAGGCTGTGTGGGCTTCACATCGATGTCAGTGACACCGCTTCTCCTTGTGAAACTATCATAAAGACTTTTCCGCTAGATGCAACTAATGCGATAAACCAAGTAGGACACTCATAGGAAATCGCTTGGTATTCTAGGCAGAGCGATCGCATACAAAGCGGCTGTGGAGCAAAGTTGGTGCAAGCAAAACTGCCTGTAATCACTTCGTCCATAGAGGGTTCATCTAGTCTTTCTGCTCGAAGATTATGGCGCATACTGGGAGCGGAAGCTTACTCTGGGGGGGGGCTCGAAACTTTGAAGAGTAAGAGATATTGCTCAAGAAAGCTTTGGATGAGCTCAATACCAGTCACCTACACGCCGTGATTATTTGGTTACCTTGAAAGAGAATTCGTTTGTGTCAATGAAGATGCAGGCAATTTAGGTGTACTGTTTTTTGTTGAATTACCCTCAAAAATGAGCTATATGTGCCCCTGAAAAAACATAAAAATGCTGAGTCACAAACTTTCTTCTTCTGCCCTTTTTGGTCGTCTTCCTTTGAATCCCAATCGCTCATTATATCATCCATAGTAGGGTATGCCTGGAAGGCGATGACTGCCTCTCATATATCATCTACTTGAGAGTAACCAAATTACAGAGGTATCCTTTTTCGCTCCCATTGCGATAATTTTCTGCTTATCGCCAAGATCCATTTTCTTCGGTTTGATTTTCTGCAAGCACAGTAAAATGGGTTTAAAGCATCATGCATGAAAACGAGCATTGAACTTGCTTCTTTCTTCTCGTCGTCCCAGTCGCTCTTGATATCATCGAATGTAGGATAAGCCTAAGATATTGTTTTAGACCTTATCTGCTTTTTCTCGCCGTAAAACTTGGGCATTAAGTAAAGGGAAAACAAGAAGATCATAAGTTCAGGAACACAGGCTGTATACCGTAAACCTGTCGACGTTGGGGTGTTGGCAGTGGGGCGCGCAATGTCACGTGTCATCGATTTTCCATACAAGCTCGCCTCTCACTTCTCGTTCTCTCTGCGCTCTCTCAAAGAGGATGAATGCGTCCAGCAAACTCACCAGCCATACTGCGCGCAACGTTACCGTGACCCACGTTCGCGCAGTTAGGCGCGCGCTGCGACCCCGCTCCATTTTCGGATCGCTGCCCTGTAGCGCCGGGGTGGCGTCGTTGATTGTGTTCGCTCTCACACTAGTACTGGCATTGGGCGTTAACCCTTTCCGG